CCCCCATACTCCAAAAGGTTGAATGGTACACCTGATTGAATGATGAGTTAATCCAAAGGAACATGAATTGATCACTTAGTACTTCTTTTCTCTCCCTTCTTCAGTGGTGCACTCATGTTCTCAAAATCCTAGATTCGCTGCTTTTGTTGTGGGATTTTTCTTTCTTTCTTTTTCTCGAATTTTCCTTGGAGAGCAGTGTTCCAACTTAGGTCAGCCCGTAGGTTGGAGGTGGAAGCTAGCAACAAGCTATCCTCTCTTACTGTGTACTTTTTATTTCATCGGTCCAGATAGAGCTAAACAGATATCGAGGATTCAGATATCCAACCACAACTAGCTTGGGATTAAGGCGTATTAGTTTTATTACATTAGAATTGCATACTTGATTTTTGGCTTTTCCATTACTTATTACTGCTATTTCTCTGTATTCCTGAATATTTGTCTTTTTCCTATCTGAACAAAGCTTGGTTTGAGTCTTTTAGTTGAGATTTATTCTCTCTTAATCTTTTAGCTCCTTGCCAATCGTTGTGTTCAATACCGTTAACTTTCATTTATTTAGTTGATATAAGCAGGGATCTTTAACTGAATTTCCTCCTTGTACGTGTCGTGTCTCACAGAGAAAAACTAACTATTGTTTCTGTGAACGTGCTCTTAATTTGATCTTGTGTCTTTCTGCAGATAGTTCCTTAATCTGTAGCAGGTCCCACCCCCGTGCGGTTGCTTCATATCCATAAAAAATGCATGGTTTTAAGAAGTCCCCTTTACATTGGAATGCTAGAAAAAACTCTGCAGATCCTGCATTCCTTGGTAAATCTGGGTCAAATCCCTTTGATTCTGATGATGAATCTGACAAGAGGCAAACAGTCAAACCATCAAGGAGAACATCATCAGAGCCTTCTGTAGCGACCCCAAATTTGAGTGCAAATCCTTTTGATGATGAAGAAATTAAAGAGACTCCTTCACGTGCTTACTCAACTTCGACAGCAAGAAATAAATACAAGAATTATTTCCGGGAATCTGGAGGATTTGAAAACCAAACTGTAGAGGAATTGGAAGACTATGCTGTATACAAGGCTGAAGAGACTACAAAGTCTGTTAACGGCTGCCTGAAGATTGCAGAAGAGATGCGTGAGGATGCAACGAAAACGTTGATCACCTTACATCAACAGGGAGAACAAATTACAAGAACCCATATGACTGCAGCCGACATTGACCATGATCTTAGCAGGGTATGGCTTGTTTAGTCCACTGATATCTTTTTTGGTTTTCTGCAAAGAGACAACTGTGGCCAACATTATCATCTATGTTATTGGCTTTAATTAACTGCCCATATCCATTATGTGTTTTATATTTCTGATAATTTTGTTAATTATTTCCTGAAGCAACTATCTTCTCTTTTTTTTTTTCTTTGTTTGTTGGGTTCAAGTGATAGTTTCTACTTTCTATTTCATTTGAAGATGAAACTTGTTCGTTTGTCGCATATGCGTCTTTTAGAAGGAAATAGATTTTGGTAAGGGTTTTATTAGATCATAAAGAATCTGCTTTCCCTTTACCTAGACGTCCTCGTGCCTCTAAAGATGTCTCACGAGCTGTAAATTCTTCATTACACGTTTCTTGATTAGGTAGATTTTGCATTTAATTGCTTTCTGCAGCTGTTTTGCTATAGTTTCTTGTTATCTTGGGTGACTTAAGTTTGAAATTTTATTTCAGGGTGAAAAACTCGTGGGAAGTCTTGGGGGCATCTTTTCTAAGACTTGGAAGCCAAAGAAGAATCGCGCAATTACAGGTCCCGTTATCACAAGAGGTGACTCATTTAATTTTGTTCTTCTTATTCATTTAATATGATTTGATATCTGGATTAAATGTGCACAAGATGCTTAGTAACGGAAAGGTCGTGTCACCTGACAATGATAGCTAGTCTGACACAGTGTTAGTGCGGCAGATGATCCAGTTCAAAGAAGGGGGAACCACTTGGAGCTGAGGGAGAAATTAGGATTGAGCTCTGCACCTAAGGCAAGGTCAAGTTCACGAACACCACCCCCAGAACCTGCGAATGCACTGCAGAAAGTTGAGGTATCTGCATGTGACTTGATACAAGATAGATAATACTGATTTACAAGAACTCTTTTATAAAGTCGTTGAGTGAGTTATGGAATTGACGTTGTATGGAGTAGAAAAGTCAAAGTTGCTCCCTATAGCATTGAATGAAAAGTTAAGATTAAGATTAATATGTGAACTTTCCTTTGCCAAAAGGCTTTTTCCTTATTCGTTTTGCCGTGTTTTCATCAGCATGGAGTTATAAGAGTTGTCATCTAAACTTTCAAGGATATCATCTTGCTAGCTATAGTCTTTGATTTGTGATGCTTTGTCCTTGAAAGTCATTTTTCTAGCTAAAATGGGATTGGAAATGAGGATTTGTGACTCATGGTGATTTTAGGAAGAGCTAAGAGAGAAATAAAAAGCATAAAAGAAAACAGACCAGAAATATGCCGTTGTCATTTGTTCACTTTCAGTGTCTATCAACTCCGTTCTGAAATCATTATAACCATGTAAAGTGAAACTAAGATTTGTGGCATTTTTAAATCAGTTATTATAGTCTGCTTCAAGTTATTGTGCTCTCACATCCCGTTTCGTATATGTGGCTCTTGGATGTAAGAGAGTCAGATCCACGTATCCAAGTGTATGTATTGCGTGAATTTTGATTTAAAGCATATTTGTCCAAAGCGGGGGTTGGATATGTGTAATTATGCAGGATCAACCGTACCTGTGATTGCACAATAACAACCCTGACCGACTAAAAGAATTATGTAGAAGTGACAATGTGTTTACGTGTCTGAATCTTTCTTGTCTTTCTTTAATTCTATTCTATCATATTTTCGTTTTGGTATTTAGATAATAAAATTTTCTCTCTGAAAAGTTAAATGAGGAAATACTAACTAATTTGTTATATACTCTTAATCATCAATGTTTCAACTGGTAAATTGCAACTTTAAATGAAAAGGCGAAAATGCTAGAGAAGTGGATGGCAAAGTGAGGAAAGATGCAGAAAGCCACAGACCTAAGTGTGACCAAAACTAATCAATAGGGTATCCTGCATATTGGGTAGTTGTAGTTTTAGTGTGTATGTGGATTTCGGGAACTTCCTCATCTAATTTTTGGTTCCTTATTTCTAACTCGAATATTCACTGAAAACTTGTTTTGGTGAGCTAGAAATATAATTCTAGAAACTCAACTTCTCCCGAACTTCATTTACATGATGAGTAAAGAAATGTGAACGTAGGAAAAAGAATAGTGGATCTAACGGGAGGAAATATCCACTTGCTTTTGGAAGAGTGACTTCTATCTGTATTCACGAAGGGAGGAAATATAAGAAAATAATTGAGCTGATCTCTGAGTGAAAGACTGAGAAACAACCTTGTTCCATTTTCAATGTGGCTTTTATTTTATTTATTTTTTTATGACGGTGGTGTCCGGACAAGCTTGCACACACCTCTATTATTCCACCGGATACCTACTACCTCGCACCAGCACTGGGTAATTTTTCCCACCAAGGCTCCAAGTATGGCTTAATTTTTTTAAAATTTGGGAGAAGTTTCATTTAGGAACCCCAAAAGCTAAACAACAAAAGTAGTAAAACATTGTGATCCTTGCAGTAAGTTAGGTTTCTTGAAAAGTTTGCCTTTGTAATGCTTTGGCGTGTTGGACCATGAGACAATTCTATTAGTTCTGGCAGAAATTTTAAGTCCTAGTAACAAAAAATTGTTTATTCTTGGCGACCAGATTGAAGATGGCTCCGCTCCTCCTTGGTTTTCCCCTTTTTTCTTTCTTTGCCTTTTGGATGAATATGAATAGTAATATCATTTAGCCAAGTTACTTCATTTGAAATTTTGACAGCTTGAGAAAGCAAAGCAAGATGATGGCCTATCAGATCTCAGCAACCTGTTGGGGGACCTCAAGAATATGGCTATGGACATGGGATCTGAAATTGAGAGGTTAGTGTTCCAGATTATATAATCTTGTTAAAAGGATTCCAGTCCCCCCTTCCTTTGCTCTCTCCCTCTCCACTTTCTCTTTATTGTACCATGACACGTTAAAGTACTGTGTTACTTAGTCACTTCTAAGAATTATATGTATAATGTATATGCAACAATAATAACTACACCTTAATTCCAAGTAAGTTAGCGTGGACTATGAACCCTCACTTTCTGTCTAAATCCATTTTTTTAAAAACATTTTCTCTAGCACTGGAATTCTCCACAATTTCTAAGAATTCTGTATATGCTGTTGGATATTACAGGCAAAACAAGGCATTGGATCATGTTGAAGATGATGTTGATGAGATTGCTTTCAGAGTTAAAGGAGCCAACCAGAGGATTCACCGTTTGCTTCGAAAGTAAACCAGTAGACGTCTGTTGGACTTGCTACTGAGCTTTCGGATGTCAACTTGCTTCTGTTCTTTATCCTTTCAACTCTTCTGAGTTCTTCACAAACCCCTCTTTCTGTTAATATTTTGTTATTGTAAATTTTAATTGTACTTTGTATTATGCCTTTACACAACTTTATGACACTAAACCAAATTTATCGTATGATATTGGAAATCAGTTCAACAAATTGCTATCAGCATTATTCTTACCAATAGTATTGGTACTATTCTTGTATTTTTGTATTCATAGATTTTTGTTATTACACGCTGTGCCATTTGCTTCCGTTGTCCTATTACCTTGTTGTTATTATTGTTTGTTTGTTACTTCTTTTTCACTGTTCTTGAGCCAAGGATCTATCGGAAACAACCTCTCTATCTTCATAAGGTAGGGGTAAGATCTACGTACACATTACCCTCTCCGGGCCCCACTCGTGGGATTTCACTTGTTGATAATTCATCTTTTTTCTTTTTTTTTTGGATAATTTGACGTCCTAATAATGTTAAACACAAATGTACAGCTTATGAAACACCAATAGAAAACACAATTACATTTTATTCTTCAAAACCTTTCTAACCAATATTGACTGGAACAAAAATCATTTCCCATCCACTTAACATGATACCTGCTTGTGGCAAATGTTTAAATACAACTGTTTGTCTGCTTACAATACTATGCTAGTTGATAACTAACTTGCACTACATGACACATGTTCCTGGGAAACACTATTAGTAGGGGGATGGATATATCTAGCTATATAATACGTAATTGATAAAAAATTGGCTGCTCATTTTATTGTAGCTAGTGTACACTTACTAAGGTATGAATCCACAGAGTGCTACATTAGAGCTCTCTATTTCCTAATCCTATCTACAACCCGGAGAATTATAGTTGGGGAATACAATGAATTTGATGGACAAGGGGGCAACTGATATTGGAGAGTTTATGTTTACAAGGACCGGAGACAAACTTGGGATGTCTCCAATTTCTGTGAGCTGTAATGGTAATCCATTCAGGAGCATAGTTTTGCTGTGAAGGTTGCCATCTAGTGGAGTCAGATGGTATTCTTCGCGTGATAATGTAACGTCTGATGATTTACTTCCAACCCATGAAAAAGTTTTCTTAAGACCGTGTATAAACGACTTCTTGTAATTTGATTTCTCGTTGGCATGCGAGGAGGTGTTTACACTAGATTCGATGCCGACTCCGTACTGAGTTTGGTTGCTTAAATTGATCAAAAGTAATGTCACACCTGCCTGCACAAAGGAAACACCAGGAAATTGAAATGTTAAGTTTTAAGCACATGCAAATCAAAAGGGCAGCCCGGTGCACTAAGCTCTCGCTATGCGCGGGGTTCGGGGAAGGGCCGGACCACAAGGGCCTATCGTACGCAGCCTTACCCTGCATTTCTGCAAGAGGCTGTTTCCACGGCTCAAACCCGTGACCTCCTGGTCACATGGCAGCAACTTTAAGCACATGCAAATCATCACATGTTAATTTGAAACTAGTATACATTAATGAGAAAACTAAATTACTGCAGTATGGCTAGGATAAAATGGTAATATTAGCAACCAGAAGCTGGATTCACCAATATGAATATGCCACAAAATGGTTCAGTAGAAGGGCATTCTGTCCTACATCTGATTGACATTCAGGTTCTAACCTATCCAAGAGTAGACAATCAAGTTCTAACTATCCACCAGTAGTAAGTTCGCCTACAAAACTAAGCACAAGGGAGAGCCAGCATCTCTTAGGAAAGAAAACTAGTTGAGACTGAATTGCATCAACTCTGATTATATCACTCAAAGCATTAGCGTTAAAGCATATGGTCTTTACAAGTTACAATTTTGAAATGGTCTAAAAGATAATAATCATGAAAAAACAGCTTGCTTTGCTATCAATTAATCAATTAACTATACCTCAATGCTAAAGTAGCCAGTGGCTACATGAATCCTCTATATTCATTCCCCTCTATTCGAACTATTTAGTTTGGGGGCTACATGAATCCTGTATATCTATTTTGCTCTATTCAAACCATTTCATTCCAGTGCGAATAACTTTCAGGACCTAGGCCTTTCATGGTATTGGAACTTAGCATAAACTCTCTCACACCAACGCAACGATGTGATGGAATACCTTGCCCATTTAACAGTAACACAGATGCCACATTCCAGTAAATCCAATCTTCATATTTAGAGGTTTCAACGTATTTTGACTATTTTTATGCTGACAACCAACCTACCACAACCCTCCTCCTTAATCCGGGTTTGTGCTGACTATGCAAAGCTCATATAGTTGAAGTCTCACTGCATCTTTGCTGCCTAACTAAAAGTAGGTGTGATGATTTAGCCTCTACTAACAAACAGATTGACCAGAAGCATGAATGGACTTGATGCAACAGTAGTAGTAATTATCACTATTGATGATAGACAAGGATTATTGACCAGCAATTAGGTGTGAAATTTTAAGACTTCATTTCAGGTAACCATCAAATTACTTCCTGTAAAGGTTAATGTATCTCCAGCCAAATGATGCATCTAAATTCCATAAGTGAGTGATTCAAAAATCCACGGAGCTCTTACTCTATCTCTTGTACAGTGGGCATAAGAGCGCAGATATGATGATGAATTGCTGCTAACAGCAAGAACTCCTTTTCCCATCAGCCGATGCCAAAGAAGTGCACTGTGTTCGTTGAAAGAGGAGGATAACGATTTCAGATCAGATTGTCAGGGACTTAATAACAAGAATTAAGGAAGATGTTCTTTTTAGTAGCAGAGAGAATCAACCTTGAATTGGTAAGCCAACCACCTCACCTGTAATAATCAGGATTTGGGATAAATGTGCTTGTGTCAAGGAGCCCATAGTTTCCTCCAATAAAAGTCTGCCTGCAATATACTTTAGTGTGGTACTTGGCTGCCATCCCAAGCTGATCCAAGTACCTAAATTCCACGTCAAGATAAGGCGTAACACAAACAATTAACTGATTACAGAATGATAAAAAATAAATCAAGTCGGGGAAGAAATTTACCAAAAACTGTTCACAAATGTGTTAGACACGTTATGACCTCCATTGTTGAAGGCCCCACCAGATTCTCCAACCCAAGCTGAAGTCCAAGGACCATTCATTTCAATGGTTTGGCTAAGGTTACTGAATGTGTCAGCAATTTTATTTAAGTGCAGAGGATTTAAAATTTTGTTGACGAGATTGTGGTCCGATCCTGAAACAGAAAATTTCTGGTTTTATTCAATGGAGTAACATGAGCAAATCGACTTACAAATCTAGATAACACAAGTAATGAACGTAACTTTGCACACAAAACGCATATGAGAAAAAGATAGATAAATAAAGTAAAATCACCCAACTACCTAAGCAGTCGTTCATAATTCGACTTTAACAGAAGTAAATACCAATCTTTATGTTTATGAAATGTGCTGCCAATGATAACACAGATTCGCGAATAATTTCACCTACCCACTCTCTTCTATAACTGTGAAAAAGGATAATATACTTTTCTTGTTAGTAACCGTGATTCACATCAATATAAAATAAATAGTAAAAGAGAAACAAATCTTCAGGCACCATTTTGCGATCTCAAATGATACCACTCAACAAAGTAAGTGAAATGATAGAATGAGACCTAAGCTGAATATCGTATTGCAAGATGCACTGCAGATTTAAATTTATCTAATTTTGTTCTACCAACAAGACTCTCTTACTAGATGGTTCCCAACCTCCTAATGATGTCCAAGGTGTTACAATATAAGTGACAAAGAAATTTTCATAGAAGCTGTGAAAAATATTTTATAAACTGAAACACATCATGAGGCAGGAAAAAGTGGTCAACACTTAAATTTGACATAACCATTGTTGCGCTAGATTTTCTATATCAATAGAAGCTTTCATACAGCGCCAAGCTTACCATAAAAACATTTATGCTAGCTTACCTGGACCAAGATTATATATATGATGAGTCAAGGCATCGACAGTGCCTGGCCCTGACACCTCAAGGAGCTTCTCATACCACTCTTTATCATAGAATCCTCCTGGTGCTAAGAGAAGTGGTCGGGCTTGGAAATTCTTATACAATTGGTCTATCAGATTGTTAAGATGGATAACATCTTTTCCGTATTGCTCCGCATCAACATTTGCACCAATACCCTTACCACTCAACTCATTTCCTGCAAACCAAGGGGAAGAATTGTTTTAAGGAAATCCACCCTTTATTAAAGAAGAGTGATTTACCATAAAAAAAGCAAAAAGAGAGAAGGAAATTGTCAACAGTTATACCAAATTCCCATGAGTGTATCTGGTAGCCCTTGGAAATAGTGTAATTTATGAAATCACGAGCGTTGCTGGAATCCCAATTCCCTCCCCACACACGCTTACCCGCCCGCTGCCTTCCATGCAATGCATTCAGGCCAAAGGTCACAAGTGCCCTGCAGCATAAGCAGTGAAACTGGGATGAACATTGTTGAATTGAGTCGAGCTATTTAAAGGGTGCACGTTTATTAACTCATTACGCCTTAACACATCCTTCACATGCAAGCCTAATGCTTCTTTTTTTTTCCCACTTTGCCAAGCACGTGGAAATACTTTCTGTCAATAGATGGTGGTGAGACTTGAAACTTGGATCCTTGTTTGGTCGTGATACCATGTTGAAGTGAGTAACGCCTCATTCAAAAGTTTAAGCTATCAAAAGAGAGTACTTTTATGTATTCATACTATGTCTTAACAAATTTCAAAGAATTTAAAGTAAGTTTTGACATAATCCTTAGTATCATAAGAAATTCAAATTAATACCAAATTTTCAGGTGGAAATGTTACGCCAGAAAGAACGGGAAGCATTTAAAAAAGGTAACAACTTTCAGAGCTTAAATTCTTGATTTCTAGGTTGCAGGAATCTCAACATACATGTTGAAATGTACAAAAGTCCGGTTACTAAATGCTAATCCAGGTTTCCTATCAGCATTCACAATCTTGATGTCTCAAATGCATATCTTGAAGAAACATGAATTGTAGAAGAATTTGGTTGTGTAAGCTTAGTATAATTATTGGTCATTAAGCAGTGGAACACTCTAAATATCCATCTATTTAGATTCACCGATCCGTTTTGAAAAACTTACACAGGGTTAAAATTGGTATAACAAATTGGCAAATTTTACTCAAGAAAGAAAGAAAGAAAGAAAGTTAGTTTAGGGCACAAAGTTAGAGTTAAAACTTTAGAGTACTTTAAATGCAATCTAAAAACAAAATTGGAACAAGAAAGCAGACAAAAGTTAATAACTCACCCTGTCTTCTTGAAAAAGCTATTTAGCTCATCCCATCTATTCATATGCAAGCATCCCTTTGAAAATCCAAACAACCCATCCCCCTGCTTGGTAAATGCATGGCAACGAAACTCCAAATTGCTTACATCATATATTACTCGGTTTTGCAAAGAACCTCCAAGTCGTAGTCTCAAAGGGTTGAAAGCTGTACCACCAATTAAGTAGCAGCAATCAGGACAGAAGAGAATGTATGAGCAGCCCAAACAAGCATTAAGTCTAATTTGCTCAGTATTGCAAGTAGATGGATGCTTTTGATGTTAAGGTGAAGTTATAGAGTTTACCAATCAAAGTTTGTCAATTAGAGTAAGAACAACAAGATCTGAAATGTTAAGGCAAAGTTATAACATGACGGAAACATGCAAACCTTGAATAGAATTTGCCAGAAAGGGGTGAGACAAATCCTGAAAAAATCAAAAGAAAAATCACAAATGTTAACTGCTTGTTCCATCATCTGAAACTGCATGACAGATGTGCACTGACTATTAGAAAAGCAATACGACAATAACGACTAGTGGGATTTTACCAGATTCATCAGAGACGTGTAGCCCCAAGGGCACTCGTTGTAGTTACACTTTTCTTTAGGCCACCAGTCAAGGGTAGCGCATACGTAATTAGCATCAGTCTCAGCAATTTTTACAGTTCCATCAATCACAAGTGCTGTATCTTCAACTATTTGTGCCAAAAATGCAGGACATACCGCCAGAAAGATTAACAAGAAGGGTGGGAAGCCCATTTTCTGTTAACCTCCTCAGCTTCTTCCCTCTTTCAACAGGGTCATCAGCTGCAACGGCTAACGAATTAAGTGTTAAGAGAAGTTCACCAAAACTAAATGAACTTGTACATGAATGACATTGAGGAAAAATATCAAACAGAAAGCTCATAATTCTGTTTTTAAGCAGCTTAACAAAATAACTTCTTCTTGCCATTCCATACTTAAAGCTCTTTCAGTATCTTGATGAATCAAACAACTAATTTACAAATAACCCTTCTGAAAACTATGATCTCGATCATTTTCTATTGGTTAGGTTCCAAACATACAGTGGCGGATGCGTGTAAACAATGGGTTCAACCGACTCAGTATTCTCGACATGGAGTATATGTAAAAAGTCACTAAAATTCTAAAAACACTTCGAACTCACAATTTCTAAAGTATAATGGGTTTAGTGGTTAAAAAAAAAAAAAAAGAAGGTTGAACCGATCAGATTGAAGTCCTAGATCCGCCTCTGCCAACATAATGTCAAATAAGTATTAGACTAACAAAATATGAGCTGGAAATAAGGGTACAAATTGCTTAACTTGGTCAGATGTTAGTAGCTCAAATCCAGAACAGGTCAGGTGCACATAATAAGACTTTGGAAGTACTAAAGAGACACTAATCATGGAGTATAGACAGAAAAACTTAAATTTGAAAAAATAAGTTTGAACATTTGTCCCCAGATCCTATTGGAAAAAAAAAATAGAATATCAGCAATCATTATCTATTAGCCACATATACCAGCAGTATAAGCAAAATCTCCATTAGCATACTATATTTATTAAGATAAACATGCAAATTAACCAATCAGAATCAGCCAACTAGAATTAGATCCGATTATTACTTAAAGTTCCTTATACTAACTCTGAGTAATTGAGTGCAAAACAACAAAAAGCTAAGACCTTTCACATTCAGCTAATCACATACAATAAATTGAGCTAAACCCAGATGAGAAATTACCTGAAACACAACAAGATTTTGAATGAAAATACTGGAGCACAAGTTCCAAAAGAAAGCACACTAATAGTGTGCAGCCTCAGTGCTAAAAGGACAAGAGATTTATATTACAGTACCTTTGTGGTTGGAGAAAAGAATGCACAGGTGAAGGACAAGAAAAGTGTGTTAAGTAAAAAAGGGTAAGTGTGATCAGATTTCAAATTGTATCAGCTAAAGTTGGGTTATTAAACGGCAATAGCTTTTTTTGTTTATTTATATTTTGGCTAATAAATTAACAGTTAACATTCATTCATTCAAGAATCAAGGGTTTTGGTACAAAAGTTGGCATTCTTGAAGTTTAAACACTAGTAATGTGAAAGAGGAAAGACAAAATGTACAGAGTGAGGTGGCATGACCAGAGTCCAATATATATGTTGGATTTCCAGTTGTGAGTTGTCTTAACATGCCGTCACTTTGTCGTTACCAGTGGTGCTACTTCTTTGTTTTTTTTCGGAATTGTATTTTATAGTATGAATTCTTTTATAATTGACTAAGATTTGGTTGATTTCGGTTAACATCGGTCAAATCCAATGAATATTTAATTAGAAAATAAATCCTACGTGAATTCTAATTTTGGAAATAAATAATAAAACCCTTATACTTTGATATGTTTCTAAATAGGGACAATTTCACATTAGAACAAGTGGGCTCCCTATTTTTCAATTTTATAGTCCATAATTTAATTTACAATCAACTAGCCCAAAAATAATAGGCTAAGATTCAACATCCAACTCCAACAGATTCTCAAAATTACTATTTAATTTTTAAAAAAGATTTCTCAAGCTTTTAAATTTAGTTTCGAATCAGTAACTAACTGTGACTCAAATATTAATTCAACAAACCAAATTCATTTGGGTGGTAAAAATTAGATTTTTAACAAGCTTAAATATGTGGGTTTAAATTTCGAATTTGATTTTGTGAGAAATATGGAGTGGGTGTTATTTAGACTTGTTAGAAATAGTATAAGGAGGTTGTATATAAAATTTGAAGTCATTTAATGGAGATTTGGACTGGTTTTGAACAAGAATTGCAACTGAAAATCGTGGAAGAAGTTCGTCTACAGACGCTTGTATAAAGGTGTATAAAAGTGTATAATAGTGTATAAGCTGTGTTTCTACACTAATATACACTATTATACAAGATTATACATAATTATACAAAAAACTGACTTCGTCTTCTTCCTTGCGTCTTTTCTGAAATTTAACTCAAATCTTGCTCAAATCTACTCCAAATCACTTCAAATTTTAATTTTGAACTCCTATTGATATTTTCAATCAATTGGAACAACACCCAATCCAAACAACTAACAAATCCAAAAAGACCATTTTCAAAAACAAAGCTTTGAATGGTCTCCAATGGTGGACTTCTACTCTTCGATTTTTTTACATTGCAAGCAGGTGACACAAGAGGACAAGCAGAAAATACACGGTCCCTTGAAACATATGTAGAAGATGTGAGAAGAAGAGAGAGTGAAAACAATGGTTGTGAGAACATAGATTTAACTCCATAACTTTTAGAAGCAATGGCTGTAAGAACACAAATTTTGAATTTGCTAGTGTTTTCAAAAGCACAATATTTCCAACTAAAATCAATAAAAATAGGACGAAGGGAGTAATAATAATTGACACTCTAATTTTAAGCAATTGTAATTGAAAAACACGAGCAGCAAAGAAGAAGCTTTTAGAAGACCTCTTCCTGGAGAGGATATGTAACCGCTACATAGATATGGAAAGGTCATAATGCTTAAGAATTTAAAATACCATTTTAGTTTTCAAAATATGTATAACGTGGGCTAGGTGAGATAAAACTTAAAAATATAGGCCACTTTTTGTTATGGTGTGAAGTCATGTGTATTTTCTTGTAATTCTTTCTTCTAAAAAATATGTAGATAACACTTAAGAAACTCATGTTCATACTCAATCAACAATTAATTGTATTGACCTTCATGCTGCGGACCCTGCAATTCTGTTGGATTGGAAGGAGTGATAAACTAGCCGTGTGTTTTACTATTAAATGGGTTGGGCCACGAGATATTGTAGTTGGGCCATATAATTTACAAGGCCCAAATACCTATCCATTGGGCCGCTTGGGCTGACTGCACAAAAAAACGGGAGAAATTCAAAAATAGCCAGATTTATAAGTGGTCGTTCAAAAATAGCTCAGTTTCAAAAGTAATCGAAATTTAGCCACTTTTCATTTAAAGATAAATCTGAGCGATAACACTGTTCAAAACCTGGAAAATACGCTAGTATATTATGCTGGAGTTCCTGCATGAGTATACTTGAACTCCAGCATATTACACTGAAGGTCCAGGATAAGTATGCTGGAACTCCAGCATAATATGATGGAGTTCCAGCATAAGTACACTAGAACTCCAGCATAATATACTGGAGTTTCAGCAAAGTATATCGGTCCAGTATAATTTGCTGGAAATTCATACACAAGTGAGTTCCAGCATAATATGCTGGAAGTTCATACACAGGTGCACCGAACTCCAGTATATTATGCTGGATCGGTCTCTGTTGCAGCAAAATAGTGGCTATTTTTCATTGACTTGATAAACGATGACTATTTTTGAATGACCGGTCCGAAAACTGGCTAGAACGTGCTATTTTTACACAAAAAACTCGTAGAAATAACACTAGGTAACCACTCTAAAGGACATATATTTAGGAATTAGTCAATGCGTCCTAAATTTTAGTTTTTCAGTGCTGAATTCAGTTTTAATTCAAAATTTCAGGACAAAATAAATACTCGCTAATCCCTAAATGGCAGCTCTAAGAATGGTTGTTTGTGCACTTCGCCACAAAAACTCTGGAAAACTCCCCAGAGATACCTTACCAGCATGACATGCAACAGAAACAAGAGATATACCTTTCCTTCAAGACTTACTTTGATCTTACACTTCAAGAAGTCAAGTAGAAAGAAAAGGTTTGTCAATTTGGTTAAAGCTTGCCTTTTCATTTTCTGCTTCTCTCTCTCTCATTTTGGCCACATGGGATATGCCTTGGGAAAAGATTGATAGGAAATAAGATCAAAAAGTCCATTGCTTTTGCAAGAAGATATTCCAAACATAGTTGCAAAGATTCTGCACATTATATATATATACATATATATAGAGTCTTGTTTTCTGTGATTGAACTAATACTAAAGCTGGCTGTACAAGAGTTTCTTACAACAGAAAATCAAATGTTAGTATTTGCTTTGAAATTAGCAGTTTCTGGTTAAAAAAGGTCTACATGAATTTGAGGTAGTGACAATATTGAAAACAGCAAATGAAACATCTGGTTTAAGTAAACAATGTTAACAGTCCTTTCTCAAAAATAGAAACAAATTGAAGGCTTATTAGTCCTGTTTGGTTCTTGATTTTCAAGATTTTTCAATCAATTGTTTCTAATCTGTAGCTGGTACAATTGACATCAAGGCCGACTTTGCTTTGGACTCAACAACTAGTCCAGAGTTTATTCGAGTCATTTGACATTATCGAGCTGTTGTGTCCTAGAAGGGGACAAGTCAGGAGTATTATTGCTGGATCATTGAAGATTCTACCACATTGAGCTTGAATATCTTTAATATCCGCGCCTCAGCCTAACGAATATTTATTTATTTTTCTTCATTTTAATTATTTTTCAACTGTAATTTCTTGTATTTTCATTAACCACTTTTGAAGCCAAGAAAACACATATACAAGGTTTTGATCCAGGCTATTGAATATAAGGGGGAATTCAGAAAGTTTTAATTGCCCTATTATTGTTAGCAAAACACCAGAACAGGTACCAGCTAGATAAATGAGAAAAAATTATTATGATTTTGGTGATGGAGAAATTGCAGCAGCAATTGCAGCTTCTGCATTTGCTATATATTCCCTTGAAGAAAATGCTGGCTCTCAATATCAGACAAAAACGAGAGGACCCGTTCGGCCTGCAGAAGCAGGTAAATCTCCGCCCTGCATACATAATTGTTGGGTTAAACCAGCCCAAAGATACTCTTAACATGATGTAATATTGTCTACTTTGGGCCTAGCCCACACGTTTTCCCCAGAAGGCGTCGCACCATTAAGAGATCTTTATACCTTATATGTAGGCTCCAATCTTTTCAGTACCAATGTGAAACTTTGTTCGCACACTCAACAATAAGTTTCCCTTGATTTTAGTTATATACAACCGACAGTTACTTAAATTATGTTTGATTTGAAGCTCCAACGAAAAGGCCACCGATGCCAAATGGTAAAATGTCACCAGCAATAACGACCATAACTCCTGCTGCTAATGATAAAATTCAAAATGAAATTTCAAGAGGAAACAGAAAGGCTGAAAACAAAGCTGATGCTTGGGAGAAAGCTCAGACCGCGAAAATAAGGAAGCGGTACACTTTTGTTGCATGTTTTTTCTTAAATGTTATTGAGGTTGATGATTGTAAATTCAAATATAACATACTTTTTAAATCTTTTGTTGCAATATACTATATTGTAATTTAGTGATATTTTAATGTAAAGAATATTCACTAATTTCAGACATGATGAACTGCTTTCTGCACTTCTTGCTTGGGAGAATGAAAAGAAGATGATAGCAAAACAACAAATGGAAAGGAGAAAGGTCATTATTCTCCAAGTTTTTGAGATGTTAATAGTGCAAAATGGTTTTAAAGCTTAAAATGACTGTTGTTGGAAAATTGCAGAATCAATTGGAGCTTGCTATGAAAAGGAACTTGCAGCATTACAAAAATAAACTAGCAAGGATTGATCAGATTGCTAAAGGAGCAAGAACACAAGCAGAAGAAAAAAGAAGATATGAAGAATCTATTGTGAAAGAAAAATCAAATAAGATTAGATCAACAGGAAGCGTCTCTGTTAAATGTTACTGCTTCTAAGTGTAAAAAAGTATGAGATCTGAATATGAAAATTGAAATCCACTGAAATTCTAATTCCACAAAATTGTACTGGCTTTAATACTGAATTCCATCTTAAAAAATTGGAAGGGAGGCCTTGGAGCAACGGTCAAGTTGTCTCCATGTAATCTATACGTCACCGGTCACGGGTTCGAGCCGTGGAATCATCCACTAATGCTTGCATCAGAGTAGGCTGCGCGTGAACGCGGGATGCTTTGTGCACCGGGCTGCCTTTTTTTCATCTTAAAAAATTGTTGTTCCAGTATGCAATGATTGGTAAATAACATTTGAAATGCATTAATTCTGTTGTACTGCATTTCACTACAAGAAGTGGATGTAATCTAAAGAAAAACCAAGGTTCATGCCAATTCAAGTGTTTAAGTGACAACTGCTGCTATTGTGCTGCGGTTTGACATGGTTTACGCGTGACTGGTTCCTGCACGAGTTAATATTCCGTAGGTTAAACCGTTTCTTACCTGAGTCGAGGGTCAATCGGAAACAACCTCTCTATCTTTATAAGGTAGGGGTAAGGTCTGCGTACACACTACCCTTCCCAGACCCCATTTATGGGATTACACTGGATTTGTAGTTGTTGTAAACCGTTTCTTACACTTGGATTCGTATTTTGTTCGTGCACAATCAACAGAACCTTGTCAACATGTTGCAATCTCTCCAGCAGCATGTTGTCTCCTGTTTTCTGTTGGCATTCATAAACATCAAACGAGGAACTACACTCACTGTAGCTCAAAAGTAAAACTGTCATTTTCATTTGATAATCTATGTATGCTAATGAGCAAGCAGAATTCAAAGGTGGCCCTTTTTTTGCCTGATGATGGACCAATACAGTAACATGTGACAGACCGACTGACTCAAAGAAAATGCTATCCTGTCATTATAGCTAACACAGGGATAGTTAGAACCATAAGTTTTGCTTCTCAGAAACCAGAAGAACCGGCCTAGCTAGAGACTAGGACTTGTATCTCAATCATTAGGTGGACCCTAGTGCCATAAGGCTCCTGCCTAGGCTCGCTCGGGGGGAGGAGAGGGAGAGGCTGGTTCCTAACCTGTAGAAACGCGTTTCTTCGTTGCTCCAACGTGCATCTTTTTCTATCTCAATCATGAAGAGAAATAATCTATTTACAAAAAGTTTGAATGGTTCAACAGATTGTGAACTGTCTCTATTTAGTTATTTGGACATTCCATTTCCATATCTAATCTGGACTTGCAGTTTTCAGATTTTGTATATTCAATATCTGAAATATCAATTAATAAGGATCACATGGAAATTAACAAGAAATACTACAAAATTATTTCTGATACAGGTATAGGTAAATCCACTTCTGGAATTGATTATTGGTGCCCACCTGACTCCTTTCATGAGACCATATATAAACACTTACAATTGAGTGCAATATACGTTGAAGTGTTTGTTGTTGTAGCAAAGAACATTCAAATATGTCTATCCAGAATCAACCGTGACCTGATATATGTCTTCAGAACCAGAGGCATAATTTGCAAGAGTAACTCAAACGGGTTAAATCTGAAGTCGTACACATCAAATCGTGGCTCCGCCTCTGCGTGGGACCTCCTGGTTGAACAGTATCGCATAAATGATATCTATTCATTTCTCACCCCAATCTTCCACGTGATGACAAGGTGTTGCGGAAGTACTTGACATGTTTGATTCACAACAAAGCAATACCAACTTAGAGAAAACCTGTTGTCCCTTTGCCTAATCTAGCAAGTGTTTGACACAGGACTTATGCATCTTTGTCTCTTGAGATGATAAATGCTAAGACATGAACAACAGTCCTTGGATTCATTAATTAGTAGCATTCAACAACAACGACCACAACAACAACAACAACAACCCAGTAAAATCTCACAGGTAAGGAGTCTAGGTAGGGTAGTGTGTACGCAAACCTTACCCCTACCCCGATGGAGTAGAAAGACTATTTCCGATAGTCCCTTGTCTCAAAAAAACGAAAAAGACGAAAAAGATAATATACCATCAAGAGAAATCATAAAAATAATAACATCATTATAAGAACCAGAAAATAGTTGAAACACAATAACAATAACCAGTAAATAAGGCCCGGTGCTATGAAAAATGGGAGAATAGTGTGAACACACCATTAACCACTAGCGATCTAAAACAAACCCTATCAAACTAGCCTCACACCCCAAACGAAGTAGAAAAATGCTCAACTACCTCCTAACCTAACGCTCGATCTCCACACCTTCCTATCAAGGGCCATGTCCTCGGAAATCTGAAGCCACGCCATGTCCTGCCTGATCACCTCTCCCCAATACTTCTTAGTCCGCCCTCTACCTCTTCTGGTACCCGCTAAAGCCAACCGCTCACACCTTCTTACAGGGGCATCAAGGCTTCTCCTCGGCACATGCCCAAACCATCTGAGCCTCGCTCCCGTATTTTATAAGAGCCATTAATTAGTAGCATTCGAAAAACTAAAAACGGTCCGGAGCCTGCATTACACTGATGTTTTAAACTTTCTATTATCTCAATAATTTGTTCTTTAAAAGTTTTGGAATTGATACTTAGGTTCTCTTAAAACAGCATCATTTCTGTTCCATGCTCGCCTAGTGTAACGAGTTAGCCTGAGTAGACCTCAAAGAAATAACATCTGACAACAAGAGTGCTTAAGTTATAAGAAATTACTAATCACATTATTAACTAATAAATTCTAGCATACACTTACATTTATTTTGAGATTGTTTACCTCCAAAATACGAGTAACAATTAAATTTGATTTATGGTTTTAAATATATGTGATTTAATTCAATACTAATTAATAATCAAGAAGTATAACGTATAAATGAAAGAAATGAGTAAATCAAACCAGTGTTGCTAGGAAGTATCGACCTCGAGCCAAAGTGACCTCGAGACAGACTAACAACAATAAAGTAAGGATAATAAAGTTAAAGGACAATTCTGATGAACAATGAGCAGAAAAGTAAGAGAGTATATTCTTTGCCAATGATTAGATGATGTTTACAAATGATTGGGGTCCCCTTTATATAATAGGGAACCCTAAATAAGGTATAGTTCTATTTACAGTAAAGAATCTTATTGGGACAGCTGTCTAACCGCCTACTACGGATTCGTACAAATCTATTCCGGGATTTACGCCATGATTTTGGGGACATGGCAGGAATCTTACTCATTCTGTTACAAATTCATAAAGGCATTATCTCGAGGCCTAATCGCAGTCGAGCCTCGACATTCCTCGAACACTTAATTCTTCGAGCCTTGTACTCTGTCATCGAGCTTGAGCTTGGTTCATCGAGCTCGAACTCGATCTATCCTGAATTCGGGCTTAAGGCAACCCCTCGAACCCAAGAAATCGAGCATACCTGATTTGACCGTATACAGATAGTCCCCGCATTTCTTAGAGTAAGACGATAAGAAACGGTTTGATCTTCGATGTTCCGATGCCTTGATCATGATGTCAATCTCGTGATGTCAGCGGCTGAAGTGATTGAAAAGTCGTTTCCGCGTAGTTCCCAAGGTCATTAATTGGAGGCGGCTGATGGTCGGCTATTTGGCTTCCCCAACATGCTTAAGCGGCCTCTATAAATAGGCCAACTTCACAATTTTGCAAACTTTACTTCTCAAATCATTCTTAAAATCTCATTAGCTTCTTCAACCTCTCTGAGTTCATCCTTTTCCCAATTTGTTCTTACTACAGCATCAACTTCTTCTCTTCTCCTGAATTTCCCAACCTCAATGGCTAAGACATCTAAGACTGTTCCCCAAAAAGAAAAAGTTTCATCGCCGCGGCCGGCCAGAGGTAGAACAGTGGTGCCACCTCGTATTGAGGAGTGTATTCCCGGGCCATGTGAGTTAACCTCCAATTTTAAAATCGAGAGACCTGCATCGATACCGGGTCGATGTGAGCCCATGTCTCGATACATCTGCTTAATAACTGAAGGCGAACTTGAGCAGGTAAAAAAGGACTACAACTGGGAGAACAAAGATGTTGTGATCCCTTCTCCTGAAGAGGACATCACTACCCACAAGGCGGGGTACTTAAGCGTGTATACCTACCCTTTCACGTTGGTCCCTGCAGATTCAGCTCTGGATTCCATAGACCCAGTAATCCTCGATTTTTGCCAACAATACCAGGTGACGCTTGGCCAGATCTACCCCTCTTTCTGGCGCATCGTTAATCTGATAAGATATTTCTCGGGCTTGGTCGAGGGGATGCCTTTTACTCTCGCCTTTTATCGAGGGGGTTTGATAAAGCTTCAGCGTTGATCCTTGATGTCCCTTTTCTCCAGCATCAATGAGGACAAGGACAAAGGATGTATGAGCCGGTTTGTCCGAGTCAGGACCTCCGATCTGATTCCTGCTGAGAGGATGCCGTTCCCCGAGGAGTGAAACATGAAACGTAAGTACAAATTTATCAATGGTGATTAATACCCCGTTTTCTCTATCTTTTCTCGATCTAACTCTTTTCTGATGATGCAGTTGTTGCTTGGTTTCCTGGTGCGGTCTCGGACCTCGAAGGCTAGGTCCGGCAATTGGCCTCCACTTCTTCATACGCGGAACGCAGTTGGCGTGACTTGGCCAAGGGTCGATGGAAAGATAAAAACCATGGTAAGTTCTCTTGTTCACGTATTTATGTTTCTTAGTGAAATACTTACTTTATCATTATGCAGGCCTCGGAGACGCCGTTGCTATGCGGCCGCCCCCGCCCGGCGAAGAAAAAATCCCAAAGCCTACCAAGGAAAAGAAGAGGAAAAGGGGGGTCGCCTGCAAATTCCCCGAGGCCAAAGAAAAGCAAGGCTCGAAAGCCTAAGGCCGATACCGTGGCCCTATCTCCAAAAATGGTCCAACGCCTTCGGGATGAGGATGAAGAGGGGAAAGATTACGACTGCCTGTTGGTAGCTCGGAAAAGAGGAAGCACTGACGCTTCGGAGGCCGCTGAACCGATGGTGGCAGATGCGGTTCAATCTTGAACCGAAGAAATTTCGGAGGGGAGCTCGAGCAAAGTCCCCGAGCCATC